GATGGAGGAAGACAGACAGACAAAGGACTCTGGGACTGTTGAAGACAGATCGGAGTGCAACTGTTCCCGCATCTCACAATCTAAGGCTTTACTAGACGTTTACTAGGTGTTTCTGCGTATCTGAGTATCAGACTTATCAGATTGACGTATTGACTTATCAGATTGGTAAGTGTCTGCAGGGAAATACTTTCTATTTTTCTGCCCTCTAAACTTTAAAACGTCTCTTATTTAGCTTAGTAACTACTTGAGTTTTCCAAAAATAATTATTCAATTCTCACCTAAGACAATGGAATTACCTGAATATGGGTCTGACAGTTGCCAACACGGTGCAATGACTTCCTGCTCGAAGACATGGCAGCCCCGTCATGTGGGTCTGGGCGACCCGACCTGACGGAAGAGTCTCTTAGCAAACCTGCTTCCCGTGCTGTGCGGTAGTCATGGCGACGGTGGTTGGTTCAGGAGGAACCGCAGGAGGAAGCCTGATGTGGGGAGAAAGCACCCTGGCTTGGGGTTTTAAAAGCCCCACTTGTGCTGTCCTCAGGGCAGGTGGCGGGGACGATATCCTGCCCCGGGGCTGGGACCCCCAGGTGAACAGTGCCAGCCTGGGGCTGGCAGTGTGGGTGGGGGGCGCATTGGAGCCCCCCAAGAGCAGCCCTGAGGAGGGGCAAGGATGCACACATTGGTGAGCAGAGCCTCAGGGCTCTTAGTTTCCGTGTGGGTGGAGAAAGGACAGCGGGGACCCGGCAGCAAGTGACAGCTTCAAATAGAAAGCTTCCTCCTCTGGAGGCCGGGGTGGCAAGTACGAGGCCTCCTGCAGCAGAGAGACCGCTGACAGCATCCAGCACTTCGGCCAAGATGATGCTGGGTCACGGTTCTACAGAGGAATGCACTGAGGCACGAACCGCTGGGGGGAGAGAGCCTGTCCCAAGCGGGATGTCCTCCGGTTTGCAGGAAAGGTATTTTCCTGGCAAATCTACATTTTCATCTCCGCACTGGTGGGGAGGGCTGAGCTGCTTGGTGCTTCTGTATGTATTTGCAAACTCCACCTCTCACTCTCAGAGTTATCAGGCACAGCACCCCAGGGGCGCATCAGACAGTGGGGTTTGCCGATTAAATACCCAACGGCTTCCCCAGGGCTATGATTATCCCTGGAGGGGCGGCCAGCACACACTGGGCTTGGAGGAACAGTTCAAAGAGCTAATCAGTTTAATTGGAAACACAAAACAGACTAACCAGTTACTCCCTGCTGTAAAATTCAGACAGGCATCTGAATTCTGCAATTGCTCTCGACCTTGTTTCTCAGCGTGGTATCTTTTTTCTTAAGTTGATTAAATGGAAAAATCCAGAAACATGGCCGGGCACCTTTGGGGAACTTTTGTGGGCCAGATACCACTGCCAGGAATAGTAAGGAGGTCCCACAGGTGAAGAGCAGACTTTCAAAGTTATTATTGTTAGACTTTCCAGAGTTGGAATGGATCATCATTTGATTCCATCATTTTGGAAAATGTGTGGGGATGCCAAGATAAAGTGCTCTTTTATTTCTCTCGTTTCCTGGTTATAATGCTTCTAACTGGGCCTCCCTGGTGGCTCGGGGTAAAGAATCCACCTGCCCATTCAGGAGACTCAGGTTTGATCCCTGGGTTGGGAAGATCCCCTGGAGGAGGAAATGGCAACCCACTGCAGTGTTCTTGCCTGGGAAATCCCATGGACGGAGGAGCCTGGTGGGCTGCAGTCCACGGGGTCACAAGAGTCGGACACAACTGGGCGACTGAAGAACAATGCTTGTAACCAGTGAACAGCCTCACGAGTTTCATATGAGAAAAAGACACAATGAGATTTTAGAGCTCCTTTCTTCAAGTTGATCCCCACATGGACCGGGGTCAATGTTCAAAAAAGAAAGTTAAACAAAGCTTAAGACCCACAGGGGAGAGACTGACTGAGGTCAGAGCCACACTTCGAGATGGCAGAGCAGCCTCAGGGACCGGCCTGGACCTGAGCACTGGGGGCTCTGCCGAGGGTCAAGTGGGCTGGCTCGGATGGCGCCCGTCCCCCAGGACCCAGAGGGCCCGGAGTCTCGTCCACCTGCGCATGGGCCCTGGGCTGCCGGGCACAGCCTTCCCAAGGGGGTAGGCGGTGCTATTTTTAGCTTGTGGAACCGGTTTTTCCTCCTGGAGACTCTGTGGGCAGGGCCGCGGAGAACTGCGTGTCCCCTGGGACAGGTCACCTGGGCCAAGTTCTTCCCCAGTTCTGCCGAAGGCCCTTGTAAATATGCTCCGCCAGAGAAAGAGCCGGTGAGTTAGCGAGGGGGGCTTTCTGGAAACCAAATCCTGCAGGACACGCAGGAAAACAAGGACCCAAAGGCGAGCAGGCAGCCTTCCTGCCTGAAGGCCTCTGGTCCCCCTGGTGGACAGGTCTCCCCCCTCCACCAGCCTCACTCTGCTCCTGATGGGCCAGGAGGGCACTCACAACCGCCTCGCTGCCAGACGGGAGCCACACGTGGACACGTGAGACTGGAACAGGGACCGAAAGGCCAGAGCCCCTTCCCTCACGTGCTCCTCCCTGCATCCTGGCACAGGAGAGAGAAGCCAGTGAGCCAAGAGTGGGGTGTCACGGGGAGGAGCCTGGGGGCAGAGGTCATGTGTTCCTGGCAGGGAGCCCCTGTGGGTAGTGGTGGGCGCCTGGCAGGGCAGGGGGTCACTACACAGAACCTCTGCCTCTTTCGCCCAGCACAGGCCTGTGGGTTCAGGAAGGCAGCCCGTGAGGGCCTGAGGACGTGGGGCCGATGGTGGAGGTGACGCCAGCGGGGAGAGGGGCAGCAAAGAAGCCAGAGTTGGGCGGATGCACGGGGTGACTCTCCCTGCAGCCCCCTGCCTGTTAACAGGCCAACAACTGTTCCCAGGACAAGCTCTCCTCCACCCACTGTCTCGTAAGTGAAAAGAAAGCCTCCCAGAGTGGCTGCAGAAACATGCAGGATGGTAAACAGTGGGGCATGAGTGCATGTGATCTTTTCTGTTCTAAGCTGAAACTCCAAGTAACACCACAGACCACTCCCCCTAAAAGGCCTCAGACATTTTCTATCAAGTTACAAAAAATTAAAAGAAGAGTCATGTACAGATGTGAGAGCCGGACCATAAAGAAGGCTGAGCACCGAAGAACTGATGCTTTCGAACGGTGGTGTTGGAGAAGACTCTTGAGAGTCCCTTGGACTGCAAGGAGATCAAACCAGCCAATCCTAAGGAAATCAGTCTTGAATACTTACTGGAAGGAATGATGTTAAAGCTCCAACACTTTGGCCACCTGACACAAAGAGCCAACTCACTGGAAAAGACCCTGATGCCAGGAAAGATTGAAGGCAGGAGAAGGAGGGGACGGCAGAGGATGAGATGGCTGGATGGCATCACTGACTCAATGGACATGAGTTTGAGCAAGCTCTGGGAGATGGTGAAGGACAGGGAGGCCTGGCGTGCTGCAGTCCATGGGGTCACAGAATCCAACTGGACTTGGTGACTGAACAGCAACAATGAAGAGGGCTGTTACATGTAACAACTTCCCACAGAAGCCATTGGTCTAAAATGACCAATTTTTAAAAAAAATTATCAGAATGTTAAAATTTAGATTTCAGATAACAAAAGCCTAAGTGTGGGCTCTCCTGTTGCTCAGAAATCCGACTGGTAAAAATTAAACCAACGAGAAGGATGTTTTGCTGTTTTACAATGTCCAACAACAGGAAAGAAACTGCAAGCCACAGTGAGGTTTTCAGAAGCAGACTTGCAAATCAGTTGCTCTGAGCCTTAAAATACCAGGTACTAACAGGATGGGGCTCTCTTGAGAAGAGCTGCTTTTCCACTTTCACTGTCAGTGGGGCCTCTGTGCTCCTGGGGCAGATACCGCCCAGACCACAGTAACTGAACATTCAGAGTCACCGCTATCTTCACAGGGAGAGCATCAGTTCTTGTGCGAGTTACACGAAATACCAGGAGTCCCCAGTGAGTATCCACTAGGATGTTTACACATTGAGAACATGGGTCCTCCTGTCAAGAGGGAGGGGAGAATTCCAAACCAACAACCCTGTAGAAACGTGAACCCCTCTAGTTGCCTTGGGCCTGAAAGCAATGTTTTCTCTCAAGTGTTTGAAACACTATAAAATATGAACAAAACCAGTAATGTAATCACATATTTACATGAATGGCATGGAAGCAGACTATGGAAAATTACCCACTTGACTGATACAGAAATGTTTGAGTCCAAATACAGATCAGAGAAGCACCCATGGCAGAAAGTTCATTATTCTTAAATGAAACCTGACTACAGATCCTCAGCAGAGAGGTCTGGGGGTTGCAGCATGACGTAACTCAACCCAGTGGGCGTTTATGAAACACTCGTGTGCACATGCGGCCCATCCTCAGCATCATGACATTCTGTGAACTGTCACTGGTTTTGAGTTAAAGGACCAAAGACATGGGAGAATTAACCTTTCCCCCCTACAAAGGAGGGGGAAACACACGCACATATCAGACTATTGCCTCATGATCTGAGACGATTCCTCGGTGGACAGAGACGAGACCAGGAGGTGCCCTGGTGATGGGTCATCGGTTTGAGGGGATCAGTCCCTCTGGGGACCCAGAGGTCATCCCCAGAGGTTCCTCACCACACGGGGAAGCCAATGCCTATGGAATGAGGTGGAGAATGGGAAATCTGAGCCTAAAAATCCACAGAGGATTCATTCTGAGTCGCTGGGGGGATTCTGATGGTTTTTACTTGCATCTTTTCCCGTTTGCTCTCCTGCATCTCCCAAACACCCTAAACAACAGCACAGAAAGGGACGTGGGGGCAGGATTCCCCCGGCCGAGGAATTCGGGTCTTGGTCTGTGCAGGACTAGCATTCTCAGCCCTAGAAGTTTCTAAGGAAGGAGGGTAACAAGCCAGTGGCTTTAGCGGAAGACCCGGTGGCCACAGGAAGTGTGAGCACCTGAAGGATTTGGGGTCGGCTCACTCCTTACCTTATTGCCCTTCTCGGCACCGAAGTCCCGCTTCCCTGCGTGGTTCCCCATCCTGAGGTCCGAGGTCTTCAGATGCTGAAAGAAAAGAGAGGCTGTTAGCCTCGGAATTGGCACTTTCAGAGTTTCCAACATGGTTTTTCAATCAGAACAGCAATCCCGTTCCAAATTCGACACCTATTTCTGAAGAAAGAAAACGAAAGCCCCCAAACTCAAGGGGCACCTGAAGTCTCCGAGGGAGTGTCGCTGTCCTCTAATCCCTGCAAAAACCCAGACTCAGATTCTGTCCAGGGACACACACGGTTCAGCGAGTTTCCTTGTCCTCGATCAGCCCATCTCTAGAGCGCCCACAGACCGTGCGCACCCGACAACCAGACGGAGTCACACTTCACACCTGGTGACGAAAGGAGACGGACAGACACGGGGAGAAGCTTCGGATGCTCGACAGACACACACAGGACGCTTGCGGGTTTGAGAATTCCGCAAGCACAGAAATAGCAGACCCGACCAAAGGCTGCTTATCTGACAAGCATCCCCAAAATCTGCAGAATTTGTAGGAAGATAAAGTTGTATTAAAAAAAAAAAAAAGCACATGTGCCTCATTTGTATTTTCTAGCCCAAACTTTTGCAGCAAATGTACTGTTTTTCTCCCCCAGAAAGGCACATAACTGAAGAATTCAGCCAAACTCGTTCCACACAGATCCCTTATCCTGCTCGCATCCCTGGACCTGCAGGAACCACGAGGACCACTTGCACCATCACCTTAGATCTGTCACCTGGCTCAGGTGACCAGTCTTGAAGAACCTTTGCAAAATTCAACCATCAGGTTGCTTTCTTCGGTCGCTAAGTTGTGTCTGACTCTTTGCCACCCCACGGACTGCAGCAGCCAGGCTTCCCTGTCCTTCACCATCTCCCGGAGCTTGCTCAAACTCATGTCCATTGAGTCGGTGATGCCACCCAACCATCTCAACCTCTGTCACCCTCATCCTGTGATGATTCAGAGAACATGTGAGGACCAGCTCCCAGCTGAACAGGGAACAGCTCTTCTTGAAAGGCAACAAAATGAATCGTCCTCTAAACATGGAAAGGGTTTCTAAAATATTTCATATACCCAATGAAAGGCAAGTTTCATCCCTGCAAAGACAGTCACTAGAGAAAAGGGGACTGCCCAGTATCTGGACTCCCCCAAAGCCTCCCGTAGGACTGGGTGTCTCTTCAGTGACTGTAAAGGATGCTGGATGCTCTCCCCCAGGTCAACTGCCAAGAAAAGGGGCGATAGCATCCGACAGCGTCACCTCCTGTGTGTGGGGTGCAGTGGGTTGTCGCCGGGGGAGACCACAGACTACCAAGCCCCTGCGGAGTGGAAACCCTTCCTGCCTTCATATTTTCTAAGTGGAACCCGGGCAGATCTTCCAAGATCTGAATTTCAGATTAAGTGCTGAACTTCAAATGACGTAAATCCAAGTGGGGACAACGTGCTCTTGTAAATCAAAGCTGGGGCTCTAGTGTCGATAAAAACACTGCGGACTTAGGGGAATCACACGAATGCGTCATGTATAAAGACATGCGCGTGGAAAAACCTGTGCTTCAAATGTGTGTGTTTACGTGGTGGCTACAGTTAAAAGCACTATAACGTAGACAGGCGGACCTTGTTTTATTGTGCTTTGCTTTATTGCTGTTTGTGGCTGCTGCATTTTTATAAATTGAAGGTTTGTGGAAACTGCATTGTCAGATGATGGTTGGCATTTTTTAGCAATGAAGTATTTTTAAATTTAAAAAATGATGCTTTTAAAAATAAATAAAATGGATGCTTTTAAAAATGCAAGTTGATCTTTGCAGATAATTTCAGTATTCTATCATCCACCTTCCCAATTTACTTACACGGATCACCCCCCAAAAAACCTCTATGGGGGTCGTCTCATGGGGGGAAATGGAGGTCTGAGGCACACACGGTAGTTTGCTTGATAAGACGGGCACAAACAGGGAGGAGGGACTCGCTTGCGTCCCTGTGGGGCCTGAACTGCAGTCGGAGAACAGGACTGTGTGTTCTCCATGCAGGATGACGGTCTGAACCCCAGGAGTGGAGCGGGGGTCATTCTGAACTTCCAGCTCTCTGTGCCCCCACGCAGGGCTGTGATTAATGATGATGAGCACAGTGTATGTAGCACACAGAATACAATGCATTAAACATCTGTGCATCCATTTCTGTTTAACAAATAACAACTGGTGTGTTTGATGGGAGACGGATAAATTAGGAGGCTGGCATTAACAGATACTCACTGCTACATACAAAATAGACAGAGGGCAAGGGCCTGCTGTATAGCGCGGATAACTTTATTCAATATGTATTTTTTGGCCATATCATGCAGCTTATGGGATCTTTGTTCCCTGACCAAGTGTGGCGCCTGGGCCCTCAGCAGTGAAAGTGCGGAGGCTGCCAGGGAGTGCCCTCAAAATTCTGTAATAACCTACAAAGAAAAAGAACCTGAAAAGGAATCTATCTACATCTATATATCTGAATCACTGTGCTATATACCTGAAACTAAAACATTGTAAACAATTATACTTCAATTTATATAATTACACATAAATAGTTATATATTTTCAACTATTCAATTTATACAAATATAAAAGTGATAAAATATAAATATAAAAACTTTTTCAATTACATATAGTTATTTCCAAAATCAAAAAAGAACAGAATTGTTGTATTTGAAACTAATCACAGGCAAAAGTAGTTAACTTCTTCTCAAGCTGACAGCCTGGACTTTGGGGTTCCCCGCCCTGGTGTAGAGAACCGCCCGCTGCCACCCACGTTCTCCCCCGGCAGCACCTCCCCCGGCCTCCATCTTTCCCTCACCTCGTCAGTCACCTCCCCTGCAGGTATTAGGCAAATCCTGACACCCTGTCCCCTCCTTCCAGAACACAAACCTCAGGATTTAACCTAACAGGATACTGTGCCATGTGTCAGTATGGGAGCAGAGGGGTGAGGAGCATTGCTTGTGGACACAGAGGAGCTGTTTTTGGACCAAACGCTCTGAAGCACAGCTGATCCAAACACAAGACGCCCGCACTGCCCCTTGCAGATGGGAGGCTTCCTCCAGACCATGTGTTCTGACCAGAACTTCATCACCCCCTCAGAGCATAACTTTAGGTTGTCCTTGGGAGGGCTGTCTGCGAAATACATTGATCAGTACTTTTAAAACTCAAGACTACTGGGCACAGAAAAGATAAAAACAAACATTCCAGGTCAGACTTTTGAGTATGTACAAACTTCCCCTCGGTCTCAGATGAACAGAAAGAGTATTTATGCATCATTTCGAGTAGGCAGATTCTAGCCTTAAAAGCACAATTCACACTGGCAGGAAAAGAAAGACAGGAAAAGCCATGTGACTCAGCTCGGGGTCCCTCATCAGTGAGGCCATCAGGACGTGAGGCGCGCGGCGCAGCCCCGATGATGGGTCATGGACCTGACTCCAGGTGACCGGCCCCACCCCGCCGGGGACAGAGGGCGGCAGGCTTATGGAGGCGCCCTGCAGCTGGTCTCCGTAACACGCTGAAAAGAGCCATCTGCGAATGGAAGAGCTGGATGTGTGAGGTCATCTCTATTCCATTTCATTTTTGCAATTAATCAAACAGATAGAAGAAGGAAAATTCATGAGGAATGCACTTGGAACTCAGGCCAGAAGCATCACTGGGTTATTAGGAAGCTTTTTGTGAAAAACTATGAAAGAAACACAGTGGGAGGGGGAGAGGAGGGTCAGGGCTGGGAGCAGGGCGGACTCCAGGTGACAGCGGCTGCCCGTACTCCTTAGGTGCAAATTCAGGCCCACATGAAATTTCTAAGCAGCCACGGGGATGACTGAGAATTTCCATAATGTTTTCATGACCATGCAGGCTTTGTGTCGTTGTGGTGGGGGTGGTGGCATGACTGCCCAGGGTGGGTGCTGACCGGTTGAGAAAACATCTTCCAGCCATCTAGCTGTCTACGATCGCACACCTTCCACAGAGCCCTCGACATGGGCTCCCGCGTGTGTGGCCATCCACGCTGAAACTACGAAGTCGGGGAGGAGAAAGGGGTGAGAAGCTCAGGGACCCAGAAGCGACGCTCCTGCCCAGTCCTAACCCTGGCCCTTCTCCATCACAGACGGCCCTGCACAGGACATGGCGTGACTTCTCCTGGGTCCAGACCAGACCAGGGTGGGGTGGGGGGTGACAGAGGGCGGCAGGAAGAGAGAAGCAGGGGAGACTGAGACCCAGGGGAGGCTGTGGACACCAAAAGGCTCAGCTGGTTGTTTCTAAAGTAGTTCTGAGTGAATTTTCACAGGCGATGGGACTGTCATGAAATCATCGTCTCCATAGATTCACTGCGGGAGACACGAGGCCTCAATCCAAAGTGTTCTGGACGGTCTGTGATATCATCCATTTCTAGATTGTTCATCAACAGGATAAAGAGAAGACTTTGCTCTAGCAAGTCATCTTGAGGAAACGGCTGAAATACACAACACCTGTTTGCAGTCCTCATGAACACCTGTATGTGGATCCTCAAGCTTAATGAGGAAAATGATACCGCCTTTCTTAATTTCCTGTCGAATATCTTGCAACAACAGCTGGTGAAAAGTATGTGCAAGGAATTATTTGGGTTTTAATTCCACGCCCGCCAATTGCTATTTACTGCAGAGTTTAGAAATTTGGTTCTCCGAGCTCCCGATTTCTCAACTGTCAAATCAGATACCTGCAGTGCATCTTTAGAGGATTCAGTAAGGTAACAGACTCGAATTCCCTGGGCCCCTGACATCGACAGCATAACATATCCATCGACAACATAACTGCCTCTCTTCTCTCCCTAAGAGAATGGCTTGTATGTTACATAAGACGCCAGCAGCAGAATGAGACAAATAAGGAGTTAATTATGACCCCGAAGGGCCAATCATTTGCAGATATCTTAACTGTCAGAGTTCAACTTCCTTGTAATAAAGATGTTCAATGAATACATTGCCTCATAATCAGGAGAGAGCCAAAGGCCATTTGTGTTTCTCAACTGACTAGGGTGCAATTTTTCACGTACAGTAGTTCAG